CATAAAGAAATTTGAATATTTTCATATTTCTTCTACAGAGTGTGGAAAAATTATTCATGATACTGTTTTATTAAGGTCATGACAAGAGTTTGTTATATACTTTCTGTAAACTATATTTGTGGTAAGTAATACCTAAGACATTATTATTATAAAATTATGCTTCAATGTTATTACGTATAAAATCAAATGTAGATGGATGGTATAAAAATTATAGGTTGTGTTTACATATCATTGTTTATTATGGAAATGAGGAACTAATTAGTGTTGATTTTTAAGTTACAATAGGTATTTGTAACTGTATATGTTATATACTTAAAAATATTGGTCTATTCAATCCCATTTTTGCTTTTAAAATAATTTAATGTAATAGATTAATAAAATATGAAATAATAAATATTATGTACAGATTACAGTGGTTTTGGAGAAATTACTGATTTCTTGAGTTTAACATTATAAAGAACTATAACAACGATGGAATCAAATGACAGGAAAAATGTTTATCTTACAAAAACCGGTGATAATGCTTTGAATTCTGGAATGAGGGACACAATGATTGTTGGTCAAACGAATATGACACCAGGTTAAAGTTTATTATGTTTTAAAACATTTGTCTATTTATAGATAATACACACTTGACTGATATTTTTTAAATTGAATTATATAAAAACTAACCAAAATAAAATACTGATAAAAAATGATATAATTGAATTATGGATATATGTATGATTAACTGTTTAATTCTTAGAATGTGGTGAACCTGTAATGAAACCTGGAAATGTATCCAGTGTTTCAAATAATCAAGCAAAGTGGTCAAATACTCAAAGTAAAAATTTTATTATGAATGCAGTACCAGTGAAAAATGAAGTAAGTTTCTTTTAAATAATATCAGTAATGATTTATGTAATAGCAATATACATGTTAATGAAATTATCTTATATTTCTAGATTGTCCACCTTGAAGATGGAGCACATTGCAATAAGAAAATGTATTATTATGATAGACATTACACTGGCCATGAAGAAACAGAGAGACCAACACGCAGGGGAACAAAAAGATACAGAGATAAAGATGCACCCAAAAGGGCATTGTATGTGTTTGCAATGTTGATTAGTGTTGGATATTTTCTTTATAAATGTCATTTTAGGTCTGCCTTTTTCTATTTTTGCCAAGAATTACGTGGAAAGATGAGGGAGTTACATCCAGAAATGGGAGTAGGAGATATTGCCAAAGAACTTGGTAAATTATGGATGAGCACAGATCTTCAAACTAAATCAAAGTATATGGCAATAGCGGAAGAGGATAGAGCCAGATATGAAAGAGTAAAATTTAAACATTTTTATTAAACTTGATATTTAAAAAAGTTTTAATTAATGTTTAAATGTTTAATTATTTAGGAAATTATTGCATACAATAAAAGAGTAAAAAATTATGACCCAGAAGAAGTTGGACCTGTTTAAATTTTTGAATCTATTAAGGAGCAAGGACAGTGTACTTTGTCCTAAATCAAGCACTCGCCAATTAAAAATGTATAACAATTTTACTAATAGTTTAGTATTGTCAATCGTTGTATATATTATGTACACTGTTGGCATTAACAAATTTAAAGAAAAATTACACTCTATCAAATCTGTCTTGAAAATAATATTTGAAAAAGACTGGTCTACATTTATTTTTTAATTGGATACTATCTTTTGTGAATAAGGTGTGCTAATATATTTACAAACGATAGCTAATACAAGTAATAATATTAATATCAATAGTAATAATACTGAAAATAATACTGAAAAATATGATGCTGATAATGATAATCTATATTGCTATTAAATATGTTATACACAATTAATGCACAATAACAAGCAAAAGTCAAGCAGAGTGAGCTTTGTACAGTGCACTTTTCTTGTCTAATTACGCATTATTCATGTTTATAATGGTAAAATTAGATATCAGGGACTATTTATATCTAAAACCCTGTATAGAACACATATTCCATGTATTTTGTTCTTTTTCCAATAAAGATAAAACTATTTAAAGCATTCATAATTTCTATATTAAAATTACACACCAATTTCCTTGATCATAATATACTTCTTTCATTGTAAAACTAGGTACTTCTGAACATAACTGTGAAAGTTCGCCTTCTTCAAACACATGATAATACCTAAAAAAATTTCCTCCTTCTTTTCTTTTCCAAGGAACAAGCATATCGTTTGAAGCAAATTTTGTACGGTTTTCATGTACTGGCAATGTTACGCCATATTCTGTTAGTTTCTGCGTACATGAAATATTTCTTTCCGTTTTAGTTGAATTACATCTTATGTAAGCTGTTTGAATTGAGTCCTTTTCTTGTTCTTTTGCCCATACATAAATTAAGCATTTTCCATTTGGTCTAAGAACTCTTGCCAATTCAAAAATTGCTTGCTTTCTTCTCTCGTGAGTAGAAAGGTGGTGAATTACAGCTATACATATTACTGCATCTAAACTATTATCTTTATATGGTAAATATAAACAGTCAGATAGAAATACTTCAAAACCTTTATTTCGGCATATTGTCATTAAATTATAACTTCGGTCACATCCAATCTGTCATTGAAAATTTTGTATTAAGTTTATTATTACACCATGTAAAGTTGGAAGGTGAGAAATGCATACCTTAAATATATGTTTTTCTGAACAGAGATATTTACCATTGCCACATCCCACATCTAATAGAATATCACTTGTATCTAAAGTTTGTAGAAATTTCGATACATTGGGCCACTGTTTATGTCTTGTTTCATTAAAATGGTTTGAAATTTTGTTATAAACCTGTAAGTAAATTTATTCAATAATGTATAAAATGTAACCAAATTATATATAAAAAACATTTTATAATTCATACTTCGTGCACATAAGAATTTTCTATTCCTAAGGCTGTTTCAGTATCAATAAGAGTAGTGGTATAATTTTGTTTTGTATCACAATAGTTTGGGAAGTTACAGTGACAATCACCCCTACGTATTTTTCGGAATGTGAATGATACTCTTGTTCCCCTTGGTTGAGTTGTAATTCCATTTGAAGTTTTCACGACATCATTGTGTCTAGGACAAATTCCATGTGACCATGCATAGCGAGTTTCTCCTGACATAATTAATAATGAACGAGGAGGTAAAAGGATGGCAGCTTTTTTATTTTCCCTTTTAAAGTCCATAATACATGCTGAACCCAAAGATAGTGATAATATATTATCTTCAAAGACACTATGTGTATCAATATGTGGAGGAATACCTTAAAATGTAGAATATCATTATTGTCTTTATGTATAAAAATTTATATTATACTTGTTAAAAAAATAAATTGTAAAAAATATACCTTGACCAGGTAAATAATGATTAATTGTCAATTGATCATATTCATATGGAACATCATGATACTTTTTAAATACTGCTTTTAAAAAGTGATAATTTTCAGGAATAGGTGTAATAGGTTTATCAGGATCTATTTTATTTGAATTGTATTGAAACTCATATCCAAAGTGTTTAACTTTTCTATGTTTTAAGGCAGACAATCCTTGTATACAAAAAAGAACAGATTTATATTATTAATGGTTAAATTTCAGCAATTTAGCAATTCTAATATTATTTATAAAATTAATATTACCTTCATTATACCAATTGATTGTATTTAATAACATTTTCTCTTGTTCTTCAGTTATAACATTTTCTATTAATTTGAGACCAGGAGGAAAATCACTAGACCATTCAGAATAATCACAGTCAGGAACTGAAATAGAATCATAGAATCACAATATTGACATTTAATTTTCATCTTTGATTTCTATTAATTGATTGATTACATTTTAATTATTAATTAAAATTATAAAAAATACAATATATATTACATAGATTCTGACATGAATTATATACCTGATTCTGTAAATGTTGCATACAATAATGTATCTTGTCCATTGATTTTAATGCGACCATTAATTTTATTATATGCACTTACAGCATCTTCAATTGAATGAAATTTGATGAAACAGTATGATTTATTTGGTGGCATTACTAGATCATACTTATGGACAAATGGATCTATTATATCTTGTAATGTTTCTCTTTGAAACCCAGTCATTAGACCAGCATTACAAAGCATTACATACTACAATAAAGTGCAAAATGAACCAATATTATTATAAAATACTATATATACGTTTATATTATAAACAATAAACAAATATTAACCTGTGTAGAATTATCACAGCATTTAATATTCATATCTCTAAGGAGTCTATGATAAGCTCGTTTCTGTTTACAATGACTCTTTTTATTTAATTTCTTTTCCATTATTTTGAGGAACATAAAAGCATGTTAAATTATATATTAGGGATATATTTTTTCCAAAATATATGTACATATGTTTATATTACTAGAAAAACATGTAACCTCTTGTTTTCTTATCAATATATATGTACATACTTTCCCATATTATATTCAATAAACAAAAGTGTAGAAATTAATTTTTTTAACGTCAAATTGCATTATAATTGCTACATATTTACAAGACTTTTACATTACGTGCACTCAATGCTCCTCAACGACAAAGGTCACCGCGTACCTGTTTTCCTTTCCAACCGTTCCCTTCGTGTAGCATACCTACGCCTAGGAAAACCACGTGACATTAAAAAAGCGGCCATAATGGATTAGCAAAGGCATGAGCAACTAAAATCCGCGGGCTGGCAAGCCTCCTTTCCTCGCACAGAGTTCCGTGGTGTGGTAATCTGTATAGACAGAATCATATACAGGGTGTATCTAGTAATTGGACCGAGTTATAACTCAACTGTTATTGAAGAGAGAAAAAAATTGTAAAGGAAAGTTTTGCATGGTTTAACAAGGTATATCATCTTGAAGTACGGTTTTTTGCGGAAGTGCATCGGTGCAGTTGCAAAGAGCAATTGCACTCGTTTTTTGAATGCTACTCTATGATTTCTTTCGCATGAATCAATTCTTCGTGCTATTTTGAATGAAAAAGTTAATATTTTACAAGTGAAAACAATCGTACAGGATACAATCGTGAAAAACTCAATACTTTTCGAAATACTTTCATCATATTGTTTAGTTGTTCCTCTACAATTTTTTTCTATTTTCAATAACGACCAAGTTATAACTCGGCCCAGTTACTAGATACACTCTGTAAACGTCCCATGGAAGTATACGTCGTTCAAAATGAGAGTAACCTCGCTCTCGGACCGATTTTCGTCCGTTCTGCGCATAGACAGAGAGCGTGGCAGAGGGTAAGACGGAGAAAAACGTAGGTGGTTAAGTGGGGGTTTGGACGTTCTAGGGGTTCTAGCTCGGCCTTAAGCACGTCCCATGCGCGAAGCGAGGTTGCTTTCATTTTGAATAGAGTATAACAAGACTGTCTAGAAATGCGGTGTAATGAGTTCTGTACTATAGAAACATATTTATTTACCTCGTTTGTGATGGTATCTAGGATGTTAATTTCCACATGACTCGCATATGTATTGGAAAATTCGCCATTCAATGAAAGCAACCGCATGGCTTGACCGGACGTTATTATACGACGAGCACGGCGAGTGCGGGCCCGAACAGCACGACGCCATGTCTGTCGTAAACCAACCCCCAAAGCCCTTAAGAAGTCTTTGGTGGCAACGGTGAAAACAACCGTTTTCGCTGTAATGGTTGTTGCTGTCAAGTGTTGAGTATACGCCTGGTATCTAAAGAGTGATAAATTTCGTCCAAATAAGAATCATTGAACGAAGCAGTCACTGAAAGCGTGGATTTTAATCTAACCTAACCTAATTATGCCTGTAATCATCTTGTCAATTAGTTGAGTTGGAGCACAGCGTTTAATACCGCCGAATATACAATATTATGCAAGTACAAGAATTCTATACTTTGTGTACCTACGTGTAGTATATCGCGCCAAATCGCGCTGTAGATTTAAGTGTTAGTCTTCCATTTTCATTTTGTAAATGCCCTAAATTTCGATAACCAATGACTTCATCCTTTCCTTACTACTCATCCTCGAACCTCGACCTCATGACCCCATCCTTCCCTGACTAACTCCGTCTCACCCTCGAACTCTGCCCTTGGCATACCAAACCCTTACAAACCCTAATCCCCACTCCTCAAGATACGAATACATACGTCCTTCCTCAAAAATAAGAGATTAGTTCTTCTACCGTTACGCACGCAGCTCCGTTAAACTATCGAATAGTCCGCTGACGATACTTATTGTACTTTGTCAACGTGTCTCCGTTCCGTGGCACTTGTGCGGTTGTCGCTTAACAAACGATTAGTACACGGAATACAACATACGATTTTAAAATATTCTGACCTATACTTTATTTGTAATTTCATAGTTACACTTATAGTTAGTTCTAATTCCAATCACTACTAAATAATATTGTAATCTTATTCTATGTTGAATCGGTAACGTTGGAAGTGATACGAAGATGATAAAGAGTTCACGGAAAAAAAATTCATTGGATGATAGGTCTACTCTGTACCTCGTCTGTGGTCATAGGTCTTTTCTATTCCTCGTCTGTGATGATAAGCCTATTCTGCATAGGTAGATCACGCAATACTGAAGCTTCTAGAAGGAGTTTGAATCAGAAAGTGGGAGATGGAGGAGAACTTGTGATGTCTCCGCTGGTAGTCAGCCAATCACGATAGAATAAGGCTCTCGCATTTACTTTTCTATGAAGAACGGTAGGCGACAATCGAGTCTGGCGTAAGCAGTCGGTAACAGATAAGCACAGAAAACCATATTTACCATTCAAGAATAACAAAACAATTTTTGGGATGTAATTCCGAAAGGCTCCCAATCGGCACGAAATACGGTTGTAAAAGGGAGGAGGGTAGGTGGACCCCAAATATGAAATATTAGCTGCAGCCAACATTAGCTGCTGCCTATACAGATATTGGCGTCAAGTGTTGAGTAGTCGATGACACAATAATGATAGCGGCCTCAGTATCTATAGGGTGCCTCACATAAAATTTCGGTGAAGCAACGACTGTGTTGATATTACCGACCGCCTATACAGGGTGTCCCGTATCTCCTCGAACACCCGGAAATGGGGGGTTGCTGGGGTGACTCTGAACAACTTTTTCCTTTACCAAAATGTTGATTGAAGCTTCGTTTTTGAATTATTAACGAAAAACACTGGCCAATCAGAGCGCGCGTAAAGCTCGCGCTCAGGGACGGAGAACAGAGGTTCATCCGCGCGCGATCGAACAAATGCGTACTAAATGCGTGTTTCTATACCTAGCTTGAAATTGTAAATTAATTACAGCTTGTTTAGCAGAACGGTAAAAAAGCCAGCAAGTTGGAATGATTAATGAGAGTATTCTGTCTAATGGAAGGAAAGTGAGAGGAATCTACTTTTTACAATTTTCCGTGACAAAAGAATGCAAGAAATGCAGCGCGGTCTAAGAAAAAGAACGAACTTCACTTATTCTTGCAGTGTAGCTTCTTGTTTTTTTCTAAATGAGAATTTCAACGAAATTTATGCGTATAAAAAGTGAAGGCTACCGGAAAAGTCTCTCGGAGATTTCATACTTTCTACGTCAACGGTTGCGCAAAAGAGGAACGAAAAGTGTAGTTACATTGTTCGATAACGGTGATTTTCTCAATTTCCGTTTTGCGCCCAGGCACGGGAGAGCAGAGACTCATCCGCGCGCGATCGTGAACAACGCGTACGCGTGACTTCTCGGTCATCGATCGCTGTCAAAAAAATTTGACTTTGCATCGCTATTTTTATAAAGCTTAGAGAAATGGTTTTTTGCCGTCATTCCGATGTTTGTATAACAATGCATACAGTGGAGGACAAAAGTATTCATATACCCTATAAAATGGAATAACTTTTTTAAAATTGGGCTAAACGACGAGTTTTTTTGAAAAGTTAGAAAGATTAGTTTACTAGATGACGTGTAAAAAAATTTTGAAAAAACTGCAATTAATCGGAATCGTGAAGAAAATAGCGAAGGTCCTTTTTACAACTTTTTTATCTGAGCTCGTAATGAAAATTTAAAAAATACGTTTTGTAAATCAATGTCAATTATACACACGCTGAAAATTTCATCGAAATCGGTTAATGTCCTCTACTGTATGTATTGTTAAACAAGCATTGGAATGACGGCAAAAAACCATTTCTCTAAGCCTTATAAAAATAGCGGTGCAAAGTCAAATTTTTTTGACAGCGATCGATAACTGAGAAGTCACGCGTACGCATTTGTTCACGATCGCGCGCGGATGAGTCTCTGCTCTCCCGTGCCTGTGCGCGGGCTCTACGCGCGCTATAATTGGCCAGTGTTGTTTGTTAATAATTCAAAAACGAAGCTTCAACCAACATTTTGGTAAAGGAAAAAGTTGTTCAGAATCACCCCAGCAACCTCCCATTTCCGGGTGTTCGAGGAGTTACGGGACACCCTGTATAGAAATTAACTTTGACTTGTAGAGGTCGGAGTTCTTCTGAATTCGAGTTGTAGAGGTAAAATTGTACATATTAAACGTGCGACAAATAATTCGAGTTAACGGAAGTTTTATTTCGAGTTGTAGAGGTTTTTACAGCGGAGCGGGAGGGAATGAAGAAAATTTTCGTCTTATAGAGGTTTTCGAGTTATCGAGGTTCCATTGTAATATAAAATATTTTTGCATTTTATGTATTAAAAAGGTTACTACAAAAACATAATACGGAAATTAATTTCAAACAGAGTAAACAGAAAAAAGAAATTTTAACCCAAAGGAGGTTGGAATCGCAGACCCTTTTGTTTACCAGACTACATACAGCCATAGCTGTTACGCTAGCAAGCTATTTAATTTTGCCGCTCACTTCAAAGGTTTTCCTACCTACTAGCGCACCGGCTGAATTCGACCTTTGTTGTCAAATTATCTCATAAACTATTGAGCATCTACACCTAGAATTGAACCTAGCCGTACAACTTTTGATCTTTATCGACCTGCAAAGTCCCATAAAAATCTGAGAATTACACTTCATGTGTTCCCCTTGTCAGACTGTGTAATAAGAAACATTCAAACTTCCGTTTTTGTTTATTAGAAATTGTTAAATGTGTTAATAAAGGCAGTTAAACCACAAACAAGATTAAGAAATCAGTTTCCTAAAAACAAGTCTGGGCAGTATTTTGAAAGAAAAAATTCAAACGGCACTGCTGTTGGCAATAGTGGAGGAATGAGACTGTGGTCAATGGCCATCAAGGTCCCAACAAGTATGTACATATATTCATTTTTTGCTTGGGATTAATTTGTAAATTAACATTGCAATGAGTCATAGAATATCACCTTACATTTATACGCTACTTCATGTAAAAAGATTGAA